TGTTTTCCTGGAAAACTGTCGAAGTTTTATTACGGACCACTGGTCATCTTCTTCCTTTTGTTAATAAACGTGGTTCAGTATCCAATTTGGTAATTTGGATTCTATTGTAGTTTCAATGGTAGGTTACTGTACGTTTTCGCCAATTGCTTCTAACTGCCTTAACACTCTTTCCATTTCTTCGACTGTTGTTTTCCAATTTCGGTCGTTTCGTTTTGTAGATACGAGCTCCTTGTACAGTAAATTTCTTATGGTGGAAACACGACCAAATTTCTCCACCAATAAATAATTTTCAGGGCTTCTTTTTAGACCGGAAACTAAATAATTTAACTTTTGTATATTGGGTATGTTTTGAGAGTGTACGGAGGCTTCGAAACTACTCCAAAATTCTCCCCATGTTTTAGGATCACCACTGAACGTTGGAACAATTGTGATAAATTTACTACTGGACAACATTCAGTTAAACTAGATTCCTTATTTCGTGTTAAGCGTCTAAGAGCTAACTCGGTATCGTCCTTATACATAGATAAGGTTATAATAGTATCCGTACCTATGTCAATTAAATTTAAAATACTTCTATCATTATTTGCCATTTCTTCATATTTCTCTTCTTCTTTCTTCTTCTGCGACGTTGGGGTTAGTTGAATGTGTTCCGACCACTTGCCGTTGATTTTTTCAAGTGTGCCAACGTATCTTTCGAGGCGCATCAACTTTTCCCTGATGATTCTTGCCCTAGTTTCGTATTGCTGGCACAATACTTCTATTGTCGATTTTTGGTCTAACGAAGTTAGATTCATTTGTCGTACTTCATCGAGGAGTCCCTCGAGATTTGCTTTTACCGATTTCGCTTTGACAATTATGCTCGCAGATATACCTTACCTCGGACACAAAAAACTCTGTCGTGGAATGTAATGATTGCCAGATAATTTATTTGCCAAACTCGAAACTTGGGTAATTAAATCCCAAGCTTATCTATCCAAATGAAGCCCTAACTTAGTGCGAAGGAGTTCGTGAGCAATTTTTTTCAATTTTTTCGAACTGTTTTTTTCTCTTTTTTTTAGGAAAAGGCGAGGTGAGAAATTAGAAAACGAAAAATGAAATAAAGTCTTTTAATTTTCAAAATAATTGAAATTTCAGAGTGGAGCATGCAAAACGGAAGGATGTTTGCTTTTTTATACGTTTACACAAAAATGCAAAAGAATGGACAATTGAGGATTTCTTACGGCTTCTGGTTCGACGAAGGGTGCCCATGATAGCTTGGCTTATTTCTTTCTTTAACAAAATTGAGCATTCTTTTGAGTTAGACTTTAAAAAACATTCCTGAAGAGATTTGATAGCCTTAACCGCCAAATTGCCCTATCTCCACCTGTTATATGGAGCATTTTTCGAGACCAAAAGTTCCGTTATACTATTATGAGCTCGTTATGTTCAATTGTCTAGG